TGTGCAACGAATTTCAAATGTCAGAAGTCCTTCCAAATATATATATCCATGCATATCTATATATGGAATATATAGATGTTAGTTCCGAGTCAATCGAAAAAGCTTTTGAAAACAAAACATAACAGTTGGTTCTTGAAAAAAAACAGTAATAATAAATAATTGCCCAATGAGGAGAAAGTGGGGTAGGGGGTAGCCACGTAGTCGTCCTCGTTTCTCTGCTAATTGGAGGAGGAAACCAAATTATGAGCACAACTTGCCGGGTCCTTCAAGGTGAATTGCTTGCCGGCTGGTTGAAGTTTTCCCTCTAATTGCGGAAAGTCACTCATAAAAAGCCCCATCAAGTTTCTGTTAACCGGCAAGCAATTGTCACAAAAACTCAGCCAAGTTATAGATAGCAAATGGCTGTATATATATGTATATAGCCCCTCACATATGTATATCTTTTACTATATACTCGAAGCATATGAAATTCGCACACCATTCAGGGAGATATGAAAGGTTAATAAAACCAAGTTAAGAACGTGCGAAACGCAGGCGTTGGCACCTGGCAAAAGGTTTCCCTTGGTTTTCTTTTTATGATTTGGATGGTAAAACTTTTGCTTTTTTGTAAGGGAGTGTAAGCGGGGAGCGTGCAAGTTGATTTCATTCTCTTGGGGTTTCCCCGAGATATTGACGCTAAATTCTTTAGACAATTTGGGGTGCCATAGAAATTGTGCTGTTCTCTGCTTTTCTCTGTGCTGTTCTCTGCTCATTAGATGTTTGGGGAAGTCTACCGGATGTTGCATCTTTGTTTGTTCTTAAGGTAAAGTGAATAGCTTTTTAAGTTTAGGGGGATGTCAGTTTTAGTGGTAAATTAAAATCTTTTATAATTCCCGCATAATTAAAAAGTTTCCAACCAATTTTGAGTTGGCCAAAAACTTAATTCTCATTCGAATTGGCTGTCAAAAAAGCTTTTGGCAGACTTTTTCGATTAGTCAGCGCTTAATCAGCGTCAATGATTGATAATGGTCGATGGTTTTTTTCTCTTTGACATATTGATGAGCTCTCATTGGAACCTGTTTTGGCCATTGATTATATAACCAAATCTCAGATAATTTTATCGCTAGTAAAAGCCAGAAACCAAAAACCCCAAAGAAGAATGTCAAACGCAGACTCCCAACCGCAGATTAACTCTGACCCCAGAAAAACATACACTTTCCCTCTTTCTCTTGGACACCACACTACCCCCCTCCCCCAATTTTCGCTTATGTTTTGTTGGCTTTTTTTTTTTCTCTCCACTTTTCCCACAATTCACACACACGGAGTACGAACGAGAGCATTCTGCAATTAAACGGGGAAAAGAAAACTTTTCCAACAGTTTCCCAGGGAAGTGAAGCCGCAAAGGATGTCCAGGCAACTGGGTATGTAAATGTGGGTGGTATGAGTGGTTATTTGGTGGAGTTGGCAGGCGTTGTGGGGTTTGGATATATGTGGCTAGTTTGGTAAGGCTTCTTTCCGTCTGCTCGGCTCGACAATATTGGTACACAATAAGGAAATATTGATGTATTGATGGGAAATATTTGAATAACTTTTACATATTCGAGTTTTTATATGGGAATTAAAGTAAATGAATTTATAACTCACATGGCTATGCTGCTAGATATCAATTAATGATTAATGATATTTAGAAATAAAGAATGAAGAAAATAACGACCCTTTTTTGGAATTAGTAAAAATTAGCTAAAAGTATTCTAGAGCCTAAAAATTTTTAATATTTTCAACAGTGCGTTGGCTAAGTCTACAAATTAAACCCTTTTCAAAATAGTTTTCCCATGACCTAATTTTTAAGTAACTTCATTGTATTATTTTTAACCTTTTTAAAGACTTTCTCTCAGTGCATCTGTTGGTTTGGACGCATAATTGTAAAGTGGCCTAGTACGTGTCGTTCCTTTCGCTTTTAATTGTATGTGTAAAGTGAAGTTAAGGTTGGGGTTGACAGCAAACCCACCCCCACCAGACCAACCCCTCACCACCCCAACAGAGAGTGCGTAGCTGTGTATGTGTTGTTAACAACTTTAACATCACTTTGGCGTCTCTCGTATTCATTCGAGTTTGCCGTTCCTGTTGGTTGTTGTTCGTTGATTCTGCTAGAGCTGCTATTGTTCCTCTAGTTGAAGGTTTCACTTTGATAGTAAAACATAATCTTTTACTATAGATTTAATATCTGAGCATATCTACTGAATAATAAATGTTATTAAAAGTTTTTACTATTCTGTTGGGTACTTAAATTTTAATAGTTTTATCATTTTCTAGGTGTTTGTTTATAAATTCACAAGTGTTTTATGTTTTCTGTCGTAAACATTTGGCATATCTAATGAGCCATAAAATAAGCTTTTATTGTGGATTTTTAAAGATCTCTTTGGGTATTATTGTTCTTTTAAAATAAACCTTGATATAACCTAATATTCTGTCTAATCTGTGGGTTTTATATCCCTTTAAAATCTACTTTCCTTACTTTACCTACTTCACTTATTAGTTACTGAATGTTAGTTAGCAGTTTCTCCACTAATTGCTGTTTTTCCAGCACTTAACCTAATGAAAACTTGTCCTCAAGGAATTTCCATAGATATACGAGTATTTGAAGTTTTTCGCTCCACTATCGAAGCTTCCTCGGGGGAAGGAAAATCAATTTTAAATTAGGGCACAATGAGCTCATGTCACCACGTGGATATCAGGTGATATTGAGGTGTCCCAAACCTTAGACAACCACCGCCCAACTTACACCCACATCTACTACAGGGCTAAAGGTCAGGTGAACCGGGGCTTCCTACACTGAACAAATTCTAACAGCTGTAAACTTTTTCATACGAAAAATAAAACTTTACTTTAACTTATATCAGAAAACAAAAAATTATGAAAACACATGAACAACATATGAAAACCGAAAATTACTACCCACTGAATACCCAGCAAAATTGATATTTTGGCCCTGTGTCCTGGATGCCCGGCTATTGAATCGAGTTACATGTCAAAGGGAAGCGTCAGCCCAGTCCATGTCCTTGTTGTTGGTTTTGCCTTTGTTGTTGTGGGCGGCAGAAGCGAGTAAACAACAATAAAGCGGCGACAAACAAAAGAGTAGCAAAAGCAAAAGCACAAAAAAGGACACCAAGGGGACAAGGGCCCAAAAACAGGAGCAACTAGCAACTTGGAATATGGAAGGACATGACGAATGACGCGTTGCTAGACAATTTTTCAATTTGAATGGCCCCCCCCCGAAAAAAAAACACAAAAAAAAACGAGGAAAAAGAAGAAAATGGGGGCCTGAAACTCGAATAGTGAAACGTTTCGGATTTCGATTGGGTTTTCGCATGTGCTCCTCTGGCCTCTGCCCGGCTTTCTTTTTTTTTTTTTTTTTTGGGGCCGCCAGAGGATTGGCATCGATAGATGCAACCTGCAATTTGCCGCCTGACTAAGCCAGACGTCGGGTTCAAATGGGGGTTATTCCAATTGGTGTGGAATTTAAGACTTGGGTGTATTGTTCTACCCATGACTGCACTCGGAATTTCTGAGAAATTAAGCAGTTTTCTAAAATTTACCTCTCTTTTACGAGTATACATAGTTTTTAAAAAGTTTCTGCAATCATAAATTTGTTTTTTCTTGTTTTTAACTTTCTTAAGATTTAGGGATTTTCGCACAGGAATCCCTTCTAAAGATTAAATATTTTTGTTTTATTCGCTTATAAATTCCCTTTGGAAATGTGCAAGTTGTTTTTTAGTAAATGAATTTACCACGTTAAAGCCTTAACCCGCTTCACTGAGTTCAGTCTCGTTTATTCCCGGGGTATAAAGAGATTATTTCTTTGACTGCATGTCCTTGTTGGAAAAAAGTTATTCAACAGGGTTGTAAATATAAACTCTGCCAGTCTTTATTTAATTTATATGTGCTATTTTTAATAAGGTCTTTATTATTATAAAGATTTTTCAGCTTATAGTTATGTGTTTATAATCGCAAGATTAAATAACAAAGGGATTTTGTCCGAAAGTAGTAAAATTTAACATATTTATGTTAAAGTAGTTATCACACTTCAGAAAATCTATCTCTTTTGGTTAAAACGAACGTCTAACAGTACCTACAAAATGAAAACGTTTCTTCACCAAATTGCCTTTATATTCAAATTTATTTTCTCGCTTGGAATAATACCTATTGAATAATTCTCTTGAATAAATAAATATATTTTCTCTTTACTGCATGATTTTAAAGGCCAGTAGATGGTCTCTGGCTTTGCATATCAGTTTTCCAGCATTCGAAAGTTTCTCAAGAACTAGCCCTATCTTTAAGAATTTATATGCTATATATGCATATTTCCAAGACCTGAGATCAAGACGAAATTTATTTTTGACGATCAAATATCTTTATAAGAGAGTTTGCATTATAATATTGGGAATATTCGTATTAGGAGAGATATACATTCTCACAAGTATATATTCAGTTTATAAACCTATAAATATGCACTTCAAAATCAATCATCTTCAATATATTGCATTATATTTACTCGTATTTATAAGTGTATACTCTCACCTTTGTTTGTTATAGACAGATAATAATTGTGCTTCTATTTGATTTACGAAATAAGAAAAGTTTAACATTTTACACTACTCGTAGTTTTCTATTAACTTGTTATATTAAAAGAACTTTATTGTATGAGTAAACAAATGCATAAGTAAGCTTTATTTTCTTAGAGAAGAATATATGTAGTACTTTTATATAGGCAGATGATTTATTCAAAAATGTACTAGATTTATACGTTTACATCTATTACTCTACCGATATGAGCTCATTTTCTAATGAGGAGACTTAATAAAGAACTCAAAAGATTCTTCCATTGATTGGTTTGCCTATCTATTTCCCTATTTGCCCTATCTATCATAACTATAATAAAGTAAGATCTTTAAGATCTATAAAGAACCCCAAATAGTCTCCCTACAACCCCATATATATAATAAAAATCTTTATAAACTCACCGCTTGCCCTTGAAAGCCAGCAGATACTTCTTGTTGGCTGGAAAATTGTTGGACTGCACGGAGCCCGTGGCGCCTGCTCTCAGCGGGAATTGTTTGTGGAAGAGCGGGATACTGACGTCGAATCCATGCCGCAGTTGCAGTACTCCCATGCTGGCCTTGGCTAAAATGGCCTCACCCGCATCGAAACCCAAAGAGTTTTCCGCATAATCCGGCCAAGTGCCCGAGTAAAGATTAAAGATGATGTGATTTCTGCCATTATTCCAATATGGCAATCTGGCCAATCTTGATGGCACATTACGTACATAATCCTCGGACAGTGAGTCCCGATCCAAGGTATCAATACCAAGTACAAACAGACAGGCGGCCGTTGGATCGTTTGTATGATATCTTGATTCCTGAATGGCAGTGAGTATCTTTTGGTAATTGGCCGATGTGGGTGGGGCAGCGCCCAGTGAGTTAAGGGGTTCCGGTGGATAGATATAGACCAAAAAGCGATCATAACAACGAGTAAAATCGAAACAGGTCTCCATGCGGCAGTCAGGTTTACGAACGATCTGATTTTTCACAATATCCGAACTTTTTGATAAATTACTTTGCAGAATTTTAAGTTCTTGCACATCGTGGGAGCCGATAAAACTAGGTAATTGCTCGTGGGGTTGGACACCACCATCTTTGGCCGATTCATGCTGGGCTCTACGGGGTCTCAGAGGCGATACTTTCAGGCGATATCCACCGAAATAGGCGTAGGCCAAAAAAGCGCAGGATACAAAGACCAAAATGTAACGTTTTTTGGCCTGCATTTTGTGGTTTTAATAGATCCAAAGCCTTTGAATCCTCAATAATTTTGCCTATTTATTTAATTCTTTTAATTTGATGTCCCCAATAATTTCAGTTATTATTTGTATTTAATAATTATTCTTTTATTTTGGAAATCTTTTTTATTGGGAGGCTGTTTGTGTGTGTGTTTATGATTGGGAGAGCGTGCGTGCGTGTGTTTGTGTGCGGGAGAGGCGGGGGTACCGACGGCAACGACAACAACAACAACACAAATTTACACTAGTTGTCGCGCATTTTCGTTTTTTTTTTGTTTTTCTTTTTACTATTTATTTGGCCGCTGATTGCATTCTGAAGAGATAATCGAACATTGCCAGAACTTGTTGTTATTTATTACATACATACACACATTGCACGGCGGCAAGAAACACATGTATATATATATTAGTAATACACCTTATTCGTTCATAATCTTTTATGATTTCTCATTTCCTGGCGCGTTTAACGATTTGCGGGGGGGTACTGGCGGTCGAAGGGCGGCAGGGTTCGATCCTCGTTTTTGGCGAGGAAATGCATCGCGCACACACATTTAGCTCAGTTTATCACTTCATTTTCATTTAGTTTAGGCATTTGTTTTGCGCGTCTTAAACAACCGAAACATAAAACAAACACACACAAAACATTTTTAGCAGCTAAAAAATCAGACGGCGGTCGCGAGTTGAGCAACACTGAACGAGCGGCATTTCGCAACACCAAATGAGAGCAGTGAGCGCGCGAGAGAGCGGCCAGCAGGGTTGCCAGCTCTTGCACAGAGCGTTAGTGTTTGAATTAAAAACAGTGTTTTTGTTTTTTAATTGAAATATACTGTTAATTAGGGCTTGGATTGCTAATTAAATTATTTCTCTATTATATTTCACTTTTTATTCTGATAAGTCTCATGAACTTCCATTTCTTTACTACGTTCTCTCGTTTATCCTTCTTTTGATAACAACTAAGGTGCACAAAAATGCTCGAAAAAAGCGCGTCTTAACGTTTTGATAGCTCGGCGTGTACTGGCCAAGTTATCACACGGACAAGGACTCAACTGGAACTCACAAATTTATTGGAAAACTCGCACATGCGCTGTTTGGCGCGCTTAGATTTGTATTTGGAAATTAGGTGGCAACGCTGCTGCTACAGCTGTTAAATTTGAAATTTAAAATAAATCTCTTATTGAGGGGGTGCAATGTTTGAGAGTGATTATCGTGGGTTGGAGTTTTAATCCCTGGGGCGTAATATGTTTACGGAATGTAATTACCACTACAATAACTGCTGCAAACATTTTGCCGCCCTGGTGCATCATAATAATAATTGTTTGGGTTTGAAATTAATTACACTTTCGGCAACCCACACACATCACGTTCTACGCGCATTCTACATTCGCCAAATGTCACCCAAAGGTATTGCATTTATGCCTTTATTAATTATTCGCCTAACTAATTACATAGGCAATTATGCTTTGCCATTAAAAAAAACACTAAATACTTGTTAACCGTTTTGTAGTAGTTTTATAGTTGTCGGTCTACACTTAGAAAAATTTTTATATTTTTTAAATATTTCCTTTTTTAACAAAAATACATAAGTTTTGAGAATTATTATTATTTCTTTACGTTATTAATTAGCCAACTTCTTCAGAACTACTTATAAAATTTACCACATTTTTTCTCTGTGCACCAAAATTATTGAAGAAAAATGTATACTAATAATTTTGTAATATTAAAAACAAAACTGAAATAAATAAACTGTTTCTGTGAAATGGACATTTTTACATCCGCATCCGCATCCTTGCGTCCGGTTTTGCGCTTTTTTGGCCACGCGCGCAATTTCCCGTTACAAACGCATTTAGGCTAGAATTTCAATTATGCACAGGAATGCCACTCCCACCGACGCCCTCATTCCAGCATTTGCTACGCCCCCTTGCTGAGCGCTTCGTCTTCCTGTGCACTTCCTGCGCTGCGGCCGCAATTATGATGCGCCCGCTTAGATAGAAAACTCGCCCGAAAAATCCAAATATGCCACGCAGCTGTGAGTCCTAGCGCTGGAAAACTCCTCTAAAATCTCCCTGATTAGAGGTCTTTCCACTTGCCTGCTTCGTCCTTATAAACAGCTCAACTCCACAGCGAATTAAATCGGCGTTGAGCTAATAAACAAAGAACACTTTGAGAAAAAAAGTATTTTAGATTTGTTGGCCAATATATAGAAAAATGGGTAAGAAATAGGAAATAAGAAGCTGGTAAGCAGCATTAAGTAAGCAGATAAAAACTTAAACTGTTAACAAGAGCTCTGAAAATAAAATCTGAGGACTGAAAAATATAATCCAAAATTCTTAAAATACGAGTATTGTAATTTTTGGAAGATTTTTCTTTCAGAAAAAATGAAAATAATTAAATAATAAATAGGACGATTTCAACAACTATAAAAACATTAACATTTAAAACGAATATGTTTTAAGCACCTTAGCGAAGTTATCTAAATTAAATGCTGGTGACAGCAAGGGAAAAGTTTCGCACACATTTCCGCATATATCAGAACCTGGCGGCGACCTTGCCGTTTTGGCCGTCCAAATTGCTCTTCTTCCGCCGGCAGTGCACTCGACCCACTTGATGGCCATGCATCTCGTTTCCGTTTCCGGCGTGCCTCTAATTAAGTGTCAGTCGTCCGTGTGTCCTCTTTTGCCCCTTTCAGGCTCTCTCCTCCTCTCTCCTCTCTCCTGTCTTTTCCATTTAATATTCACTCTTTTGTGAGATTATTGGGTTTGCTCACATGCCAATTTTCTTCTTTTTTTAAGCATTTTCCTCGTTCTTTTTTCCTGCTAAATCACGAACAACGCCCCCATTCAGAGTTAATCAATCATGCGCATGCTGCATAATTTGACTTCCTAAAGGAGATTTTTAGGTGTCTGTCAGCTGGGGACCCTCTTTCTATCTCATCATCATACTCATCCGTGTTCCAAATGGAAACTTTGATGGATATTCAGCTCTCGGCTGTTGTTCCTGTTCCATGCTAATGAAACAATATTCGATTTTAACCTGGCCAATGGTGTCCCCTCAAAACTCCTTTTAATGTTTATGCAAGAAAACTCAAAGAGACATAAAAACTGTCAATTTTATTTTGTTTACACTATCAAAATGCAGTTTTTTATTAAGAGGTATTCTTAGTTTTAATATGCGCATCAAGAAAAATTTAAATTTTATTTTGTTTTTATAAAAAAAACGTATATTTTCCTAAGCTTCAGGTATTCTTTATTAAATATTTATTTATCACAATTAGTTAAAATAAAAATGATATAGAGTAGCATATATTTTTTCTCCGTGCTTAAACTTTGAACTGGCGGCTATCAAGTGCAAGACCACACGACAATCAACTGGGTGAGTTAAAGTTTAAGTTCTGGCGTTGTTGGTCTCTCTGCTCCTGTTTTATCATCATCGTCTTCATCAAAATAGTAACCGGGAAAAATAACAACTGAAAAAGCAACAAAACCAACAGCAACTTCAACATAAATTCATTAGCCACAAGTCAAAAGGGGGTTAAGAAGAAGTGGGTGAAGCAGATATATACTTCCGCCGCAGTTTAAGTACCCACCGAAATTTATGACGTCACTTTTAGTTGCCACCTCGAGTTTATGGATGCTGAAGACGCCGAAGAATGCCAACCGCAGTCTTCGCAAAACTTTATTACAGATTTTTTAACGAGCTTGTCTGAAAAAGCCACACGGAAAGCTTATGGCTCTCAGAAAATTAAGTTGAGTGATATGAAAGTGGAGCTAAATCAAATGGCTATGCAGAAGTTGGATCTGGAGTTCAGTGGTTAAGATGCGTCTAGCACCTGGGATTAGGTTACAAGGAGGATATTTAAAGGGTAACTATTTAATGAGATGGCTTATAATAATAATGTGAAATAAAACAATCGAACTTAGTATTTCTTTAAGTCCTAAAAACATTCTTAATTACACTTTATGTAAAATAACTTTTCATTGCATACTTTCAGGAGCATACTTAAAATTATCAACAAAAAGTTCGTAAAAGAAATTCAAAACGCAACCATTTAAAGAACAATATCTAAACAACATCCCATATTTAAGAACCATTTTTGTCAATTTTATTTTTCCCTATCAAAGACCAAAGTAGGGCAAAGGAAAGGACATCTTGCCCCAGGGATTCCTTCGAATCGTCAGCCACAAAACACATATACGAACCGTAAAATGGAAACCTCTTTGGCATTATAAAGTGGCCATATTATGTGCGCTGGCTTTTGTCTTTTTTACGATTCGAATGTGAACGATTATGGGTGCGAAGGTGTTAACCCATTCTCCTTGGTGGCCAAAAGCAACATCTCCAGCTTACCGAAAATGCAATATCTGTATGCACAAACACACGGCGACGGAGAGTGTGAGCAGATGCCATATCTTGTCAGATTTGCATGGCGGAGGTGAACATGACAGGCCCAGCGTCGATGCCTGCAGGACGTGCCAAGGATAACGCCATCCACCGCACACTCATCCAGTCACCCGCACACCGAAGTACACACGCACAGAGTTCGTAAGTTAGCCTGACACTGTGGCTAAACAGAGAAAAAATATGTATGCTGAATTTGGAAGATTTTAAAATTTATTTAAATTTTTTTTATATTTTCAATTTGTTTTAACATTTTTAAATATTAAACGTAAATTAAAGTTCTTTTTAATGTATAATAATTAGTTTTTCTCAGTGCACCTAAATCGTTGGGCAATGCTGAGCTTTAAGTAGAAATGATTATTAAGCTACACCAACCTCTGCCCCTCAAACAAGAGCCATAGGAGGTTGAAGGACAGTGTCTTGGTCAGTTTACAAATCCAATCAACGTTGCGTATACTTGATATGCAAACGGTAGGTAAGGGGAAACTTTTGCCAGTGCTACTTCTACTGCCACTTTCGCCCGTTTTATTTCATGCTGCTTATACTGCTGCTTCAGCCAAATTAGTTTAGCAAACATCAAACAAGTAAAAGCAACAGAAGCTGCAGCCAATCAAAGCAACAAGCTCGAAATGAAGAAGAAAAGTGTTTGACTTTGGCTTTCAATATAACGCATACGCCACGTGGCAAAAAAAAACTCCCAAAAAGGAAAAAAACGTCAGTATGTGGGGCTGAGTATGTTTCTGCGTGTTGGAATAATTCAATTTATTTAGCCAACGACGAAAATGTGTAGCAAATAAAAAAGTAAAACAAAAATAAATTCACGGTTTTTTGCTGATGTTTGTCTCCGATTTTGATATATATATATATATAGATGTACATATGTGCAGGGAAAAGGAAACTCAAACATTTTATGCATAATCCTTGAGCATAAGGCTCTGGCCCTGCTCTTTCCCAGCCAAGTGAGCCGGAAAATGTGTTATTTTATGCGTAACGCAATTTTGAGAGGCAATTTCACAAACTTTTACTGCACTTCCCCCCCAAAGAAACGAAAAGGGGAGTTTTATTTTCCTGTGTGCGCACTGATTTCAAGGTCATCATTGTTACGGAAAACCATTTGGATTTATAACCCAAAATTCTGCATAAATATCTTTAAATATTTTGTGGTAGACTTAATTAGATTTCTCCCTTAACCTTTGGGCAGCTTATATATCAACCGCAAAATGATCAAAAGAACGATTAGCCTGCCACGCAAAATGCCCCCGCGGCGTTTGTATTCATTGGAAAAGCCTTGAACAAGCAAAAGGAAATGCAAGCTGTATAAATTAAATTTCAGCACAAATAATTGCCTTAATTTGTTGCTTCTCTACATTTTAATTCAATTGCCAGCGTATAGAGATATATTTTATATATGATAAATCAAACAGGAGTTAAAGAATAATTTCCGGCATTTATGTAAATCAGCTTAGTTAACACAAATAAATGCCTGTCGTGTTTATTTAATTAATACGACTGTTTAGATTCGTTTTATAAAGATATCACAAGCAATTTGTGGGATTCGAAATTTAAATTTACTTCATCAATGCTCTTAAAAATAATCATCTTTTTATTAAAACT